TATCTGCCTGCACGTCTCAATGGGGAATGGATCACAACATCCATTTCAGGGCCCTGTGCATTGTCTTTGGCATGAACTGCTCTCCCTTCCACTTTCTGAATGAATGGATGAGTTCATTGCGTGTGATGCCTGTCACTTTGGGTGAGATCTTGCCCAGGTAGCGCAGCTTGGTGATTTCATCCAGCAGCTCAAGCTCTCTGAACTCCTGACGCAGACTCCCAGATATTCCACCAGTCAACTTTCTTGGGTCAAATGGCTGCACAATAATAGTCCCATTGTATGTGGATCCTCTGGACAGGCAGGTGTAGATTGACTGGTGAGAGCGGCAATTTTGCAAATCACACACATTATGTGGCCGTGTACGTCCCTGGGATCCAAAGTCTGTCATGGCAAAGTTGGGAATGACTGATACCTGATCACGGGAAATGGACAGGAAATTTCCATTGGGCATCTTGCACCTGATCTTGCGTGACTGGTGGCTGATGGGCACTACATTCTCTGGCAATCCATCCAATTTCACAGTGGTAGGGGCAGCAGTGAGCTTGACAAACAGTGTTTCCAGGGCTTCCTTGTCCTCGCTGATAGGTCTGGACTTCCAGCCAACAACCACACCCTCTGCTCCATTGGTCACACAGCATTCAGTTGCTTCATTGATCTTGATCATCACTGGCATGCCCACACACAGAGTCAATTTGCCTGGCAGATGTTCAGTCAGGGTGTGCGACAAATTCCACAGACAATCTTGGAGCTCAGCACTGAGAATATTGGTGGACCTTCGAGGGTTCATGGTCTGTCTGCGCTGCTTTTTGGTTGCATTGTCATCTGCATTGGCTGAGAGCTTGTCCACAGAATAAAATGTAGTCAATGGTTGGCCATTTTCCCTTGCAAACCTCTCACATCCCAGCTCATGATCTTAACTCTGTGTGTATTCCATGCAGTAATGATAGACACATTGCGGAAGCATGGCTGGTTCAACTTGGGTCTACCTCGACCACATCCTGCAACACGCGACTGGAGAAGTTTGACATCCTCAGGTGTACACGATTTGTATCTCAGATTCTCTAATGCTGTCCTGAGCTTGGCATCATTGGCACCCTGTGACCGCTGTCTCATGTTCTCGCGCAGAATAACCACAGTGGTGAATTGATGCCACAATGCCTTGCCAATGGATGCCTGCTGGTGTGCATGACTGTGGGTGCGGTGGATGACACGTCCAACTTTGTGTGAGTACAGTGCATTTCCGCTCATGGCTGGGGGCAGCTGCGCAAAGTCTCCTGCAAAAATCATGTTGATCCCACCAAAGGGTGTCCCATCATTTTTCAGCGCTGCGCACATTTTTGCACAGATAGTATACACGCTTCCGCAGTCAACCATGCTAATCTCATCAATGAACATGTACTCCACATTCTGCAGGCGAGCGCGCACTTGGAGCAGGGTAGCCACAGAGTCTGAGGATGCATTTTGTCTGAGTCCTAGCATGGAATGGTATGTAGATCCTCCAATAAGCGCTGCAGCAGATCCAGTGGGGGCCATGCACATAAACCGGTAGCTTTCCTGGCGAGCAGCAAAGAAGTGTGTCAAAGCTTTGATGACCTGTGACTTTCCTGTGCCTGCCATGCCCCCGAGGTACATTTTGAGATGCTCGCCATTGGACTCTACAGCATGGTTTGCAACGACGCGGAAGGCTCTCTCCTGTGCTTCATTCAGACTGAATTCCTTGGCAGTGGTGTCAATGAGTGCCTGAGCCTCCTGGTCCTGTGCCTTGAATGCTTTGCTCATGTAGTATGACCTGTCAATGACCTTGACCTCATTGACTTCATCATTGACTGGGAGAGTACTTGCATTGGCAGGTTTCTTCAGTGCAGCCTGGGCATCTCTGGCATCCAGTATCTCTTGGCGCTTGGCAGCGAGTACATTCTTCCAGTCTGCAGAGCTCATATCTTCCTTGCTGTTGAACTTTGATGGCAGTTCAGAAGTATTCTTCTCTTTCATAGGGTCTAGCCAGCCTGAAGCCTGGATGATTTGTTCGGCCTGCAGCATCTGTGTGCATCTGCTTATTTCTGCATTGCTCAGCTCTGTCCAGTCATTGGTCCACAGCACCATCTCCTCAATCTCACTGATGTTGAGTTCCCCATCATCATTATAATACTGGGTGTCCAGGTCATCCAGGGTGGCATTATCCATGTTGAATGGTGAAGGACCAGTCTTTCCTCCCTTTTTGCGAGCTGCAGAAAAGTCGTCCCTGGCATCATTGCACTCATATTTGATATGGAAGAATTTCATGACCTCCAGCTGCCGCTCTGTGAATGAACAGCCATTGAACACATCATCCCAGAGCACATCCTGGCTTGGTCTCAGATCCTGTCCAGTGCGCCAAGGCTTGAAGAGTGTGAGCATGGTCATGCAATATTGTTCACGGTTGCCTGCATCTCTTCTGGGGAGTGAACCACCAATAAAGTTGGGAACATATGCCTCAGACTCATCCAGCAGCTTCACGTGATGGGTCTCATGCTGTGGATGATTCTCATGGAACTGTATATATTTTGACCTAGATTTCTTTGGCTTAGGTGCACTATCAGCTTCAAGCTCCTGGTTTGATGTCTTTGTCAGCAAAAGTTCATCCTCAGATTCTTCTTCTTCTTCATTGGCTCCAGCACCCTTCAATTCTGCATCACTGACATCATAGTTGTCCTCAAACTCCGAGTCCACATCTGCATGCTCATCAATATGCTCTTCAGATTTCTTGGGGCCCTTTTTACGGTATGTGATCCGCTGCTTGTCTGCCAGTCTGACCCAATCATATAGGGACATGTGCTCGTACTCAGTGGGTCGCCATATATAATCCTGCACAGGTGACAATGCTATGATCCGCTTGGATGTTCCTGAAAGTCCGAGCATGACTTTGGTGGTCCCTTCCTCGGCAATCTTGGCAGAGTCCTCCCATGCACGCATCACCTCATACACATATCCACTCCAGAAGCAGGTGCGGAATTTGTGACTTTTGTAGTGGTCTGGATACTTGAGGAGATACATGGCTGCCATGGGTCCACCAATTTCAGAGCATGCAGTCAGCGAGTTTACTATCTTGGTGATCAGTGACCGAGCCTTCTCTTTGGTAGACTTCTGACTGCCCAACAGCTCCACATTGCGCTCAAACACCTGCTGAATAGACTGGAACATCACATGGGTTTTCAGTGGGGTTTTTGTTATGTAATCAGCAACATAGGCTATGACAGACTTGATGGCAGTGCCCGACAGCAGAGAAGTGACATCAGTGTTCCCGCGCATGAGATATGTGACTGCAGGTGTGATGGTGTTGATCCATGCCTCTCCCTTCTTCATGATAAGTGCACCTGTGCTTGGCTCTACCACAGTCTCTGGATGTGTCTCTCTGGGGAACCGGGCTTTGCAATTTCCATTTTTGTCTGTACAGCCTCAATTATCAAATTCAGGTTTGTCAGATTTATCCAGATCAGCCTTGTCTTTCTTTGAGGATGCCCGACATGTGTGCCTGTTTGACAGATACAATATTTCATCCACTGTCTGCTTGAATCTGGTCCACCAGGATGTATGCTTCTGACACTGATCACAGTCTGATTTGGTAGAATGGTTGCACTTCTTGGGTGGTGGCTCTGGCAATGTCTCTGTGGGTGGGACCCTGGATGGATTTTTGTGGTCTTCCTCTGCTATGTTCTGCTTCACACTCTTCATGCTGCCTGTCATGAATTCACCCATGTGCACACTCTCTAGATATTCCACCATGGCCTTCTGGAAGTCTGAGTTTGGATCCATGATTTTATCTCGGATTTCCTGGGGTGTAAGTGCATTTTTGATCCAGATAAGCATGTGCATGTGCAGTGTCAGTCGGCCCTGCTGTTCCACTGTCCCATAATATCCTGATGTTTGTCCATACAGCCCTGGTCTATCCAGTCCCACCCCAAGAACATGCTTGATAAATAGATCCACCATCATTTTGAAGAAGCGTGCACCCGCCACTGGATTATTGGCAATCAACCGCAGGCGCTCATTCTTGTCTCTGAACTCAGGTACAAATTTCAGATTGGTGTCTGCAAAATACAGGGCCACAGGGTGCTTGACATCAGCTGGAGCAAAGGTCACAAACCATGAAGGTGCACCGAGGTAGGAGACCAGGGACCATATCTCATTGCGCATATATTTCTTGCTGGTGATTGACCCCTGCACCTTGTAATTGACGTGATCTAGATCATTCAATATTTTGAAGCAAGCCTTTTCATCTTCAGTCTCTGGTTTCATAGATCCTGTGCTTAGCCGTTGAATAATGTCTGCCAGGGTGGAGTCTTTGATGTTCAGAAGCCGGTTGGCTATTTCACCAAACTTGTTCTTGTCTGCCAACAAATATCCAGCTGTGGTGGATTTTTTGATCTGCTCATGATTTAATGCAACCAGTGGAAACAATGGTTCTAGTTGAAAGCGCTTATCATGGTACATCAGAAGCTGTTGCTTAACTGTGACCTTATTTGTCCATTAAATATGGCATGCTTGTAGCGCACTTCATCCAGACTATGAAGGATATAAGTGCTGCAGCTGTTCTCCACAGCCACTCTGAAGTCGTGAGAATAGTAAAAGCTTCTAAATGCTATCAGCTTTACTTGTTTTGCAATATCAGCTGGCCTTTTAGGACTGAAAAAACAAATCATGTTCAAGTTTGGTGGTGCATAGGATTGCTCACTTCTCATCCCAGTATGGAATAGTGATGTGATCATGACGATATGGCAGGTTTGTGTCAAAAGGCAATTATCTTTGTACAGGTGACTTGTCATGCAGGTGTCCCTTAAAACCTGTTGTGTATACAGGGACCTTGATATGCAGGTGGCCCCTGAAACCTTATGTGTGTACAGGTGACTTGTTATGCAGGTGTCCCTTATAACCTGGTGAGCATACAGGTGACTTGCTATGCAGGTGTCCCTGGAACCTATGTGTGCATACAGGGACCTTGACATGGAGGTGGTCCCTGAAACCTCACCGCAATGCGGCAGTAAAGCAGCGGCCTGTGTCTGTGATACAGGGCTGACTGGGCTGCAACCCCAAATGCTCCGGTCAAAGGAGACTTGAAAGGGTATACCTATACATGCATCAGCAATGCAAACCAACAACATATATTGTTTATATTATACTCACCTTGTAACGCACCAGTGTTGAACTGGTGGTATGCACAGACACTAGTCTGTGAAGTAATCAAAGCGGATTGTTGCTGAGTGCTGTGATATAGCAGCCATTGACACTGAGCCAGGAGACTACTATACCACAGCAGGCAGTATAAAACTTGGAGGGTTTGCATGGTGGGAGATGATGAGAGTGAGAAGTAAAGGTGTATGATGCGTGTGCCAAAGTTCACAGTTCAACTTGCTTATGTAACTGATCTCACATGACCAGGCTCTCACGTGCCATTCAACATGACCCACTGACTCCAAATATATGCAAACACAGGTACATGTGCACTACGTATTACTGCTCAAGCTCATGCTGCATACAAAGTGTTGATATAAAATGTAAACATGACCAGAAAAATCAATATTTACCGGACAGTATGGCCCTTCAATGGCGGTATATATCCGCACAGGATGCTCATAGACTTGGGGACTGAGCGGGTCGGAGGGGTCCGGAATGTATGGACCAACCCAATCAGAGAAGGGGTCGGTGTCGAAGGTTTGACCGTCAAAATAGTCCAGGTTATTGCTTGAAAATTGAATGGGCACGTCCGCATTCAAAGGCTGTGGCTGGAGGACATGGAACATGCGGCCAAACCCAGTGCCACCCTGCGGGTCATCCCAGGTGATGCCAAGTGGCCGCCAGTGCAGATACTGGAGGTAGAAGCGTCGGAGATATGGGAGGGTGGCAAGGAGTTGTGTGTGGATTAGAATGTCGTGGGGAGTGAAATCGTAGGCCTGCAAGAATGTGCCCAAGTCCGCTGCATCAACAAATGTATCCAGGTCGATGTCGAAGGGGACGGGGTATGGGAAAGCCGGAGTGTCGATGAGCAGCGTACGAAGGTTTCGGAAGGGGGCAAGAGCATATAGGAGCCACGGCAAGGAGTCCCAAGGTGATGGCCCGAATAGTGAGAGACACCCTACAAAGATGTCAGTAATTAAGCATGACTAAGAAAATATGCACGCACAAACTGGCCCACCCCATAGTTGCACTCATCCTTTAGCCGCAGAGTTTGGATGCGGCAAAGGGAGGGTCTCCACCAGTGTCCGGCACGGCTCAGCATTGTTGTGGACGAGTTGTCGCTGATGACGATGTTGAGTTCCGTCCAGTTCGTCATGTATGGGGTGACACGTTGAGCAATTTCCCAGAGCAGAGGGCCATTGTCAGTCTCATTGTGCAAGTCGACCTCGAGAAGATAAAGATTGAGAAAGTTGATGTGGACGCGCCGCAGATCACCACCGCTGAGTACACATCGACATCCACGCTCTTCAAATGCTATGACATCCAAAAAGAGGCTGTGAAGTTGGTGGGCCGTGCAGATGCTCAATGCGGTGCGGGGAAAGGGGCGGGATAAATGGTGGTAGAAGTCCCTAGACACCGTGCGCAGGGCAAGGACTTCATGGAGGTCAGAGTCGCCCTGAACCTCATCTTTGTTGTAGCACTGCCATGGCAGACAGCAGGCACGGCCAATGAGGGAGAGGAGCTCAGGTG